AAATTGGAATGTATCCATAATGAAATAGGAGATATAAAGTAGAACCAAATGGAAATTTTAGAACTGAAAAATACAGTAGTCTCCCCACCTTGCCCTCTCCTACCCCACCCTCAGATTTCCTCACTATGTACATTCAGTAACAAAATGGAGATGAGAGAGGAAAGAACCAGTAAATCTGAACGTAGATCAATAGAAACTATATAGTAAGAACAAAGGAGAGAAAGATTGAAAAATATTGAACAGAGATGCTGAGACTGTTGGACAATAACAACAGGCATAATGTTTGTATTATTGGAGTCCCAGAAGGAAAGGAGAAAGAATATGGCTAAAAGTATTCCAAGAAATAATGGCTGCAAACTTTCCAAGTTTGACAAAAGACATAACCTTATAGATTCAAGAAGCTAAGCTACCCCAAACAAGATAAACTCAAAGAAACACACACCCACGCATATCATAACTGCTGTAAACTAAAGACAAAATTTTGAAAGCAGTCAGAGAAAAAGTGACACCTTCTCTGTAGGAGAACAGTGATTCAAATGACTCAGATTTCTCAGTGGAAATCATGGAAGCCAGAGGAAAGGTCATACCATTTTTAAAGTGCTGAAAGAAAAGTGTTGAATCTGGGATTCTAAGAAAATATCTTTGAAGATGAAATGAAGATATTCTTATATGAGGTAAAATCTAAAGAATTTGGAGTCGACAGACTTGCAATAAAATAACCAGTTAAGGAAATTTCTTATACTATTGGGAACTGATACCAGAAATTTGAAAATCAGGAATGGAGAAAATGGTAAATATGATAGACTGTTCTTCTCTTCTTGAATTATTCCAAATACCGTTCATGATTGAAATCAAAGTAAAAGCTTGTTTGATAGGAATTTGCAATGTATTTAGATGTAATATAGAAGACAACTTTTCAAGGGGCGAGGAAGAGGATACCTATATCATTATATGGTAGGCAGAATAATCTCCTGCCCTACAGAATCCCACATCCTAATCCTCAGATGCTGTGAATATGTTACGTTAAGTGGGAAAAGGATTTTGCAGATGTGATTAAGACTGTAGACCTTGAGATAATGAGAATATGCTGTATTATCCTGGTGGGCCCAACTGAATCACATTGAGTCCTTAAAAGTTGAAGAGGACAACAGAAAGGTGGATCAGAGAGATGATTCTAAGGAGAGTGTGAAAGGTTAATTATGCATGTTGTAACTTCTAGAGCAACCACTAAAATTTTATTAAAAGAAATGTGGTCAAAGTCATAATTGATATATTAAGTGGAACACTAAAAAATAGTGTTAACCTTGAAAAAAGCAAGGAAGAGAAACAAAAGAATAAAAAACAATGGAAACAAACAAAACACATAGGTTGGGAACCCTTAATACAAACATATCAATTATTACATTAAATGTAAATGGTCTAAACAAACCAATTAAAAGAGATTGTCAGATTGGATTTAAACAGTAAGAAGATATACCAATTGTAAACATGTATCCAACTAACAGCCCTTCAAAATACAGAAGCAAAACCTGAGATAGTGAAAGGAGAAATAGACAAATTCATAATTATAATTGAGTAACCCAGCACACCTCTCTAGGTAAGACTAGTAGACCGAAACTGAGCAAGAGTATAGAAGAACTGAATCATTAACCCACTAGATCTGATAAACATTTATATAACATTCAACCAAATGCTAATTGACTAAAATATTTCTAAATGAAGAAAGAAACAATCCTTTTTAGCATATTTGCAAGTTAAATTATGAGTTGTGAAATAAGGTATTTGTGTCTTACTAATGCGAAATAGAAGTTTATATTTAGAGCAACATTTTAAAAAGCAGCAAAAAGTGTAAAATATTTTATGCTTTCAAAGCTAGAATGACTCAGTGTGCAATAATTGAAATCATAATAATTTAAAAACCAGTTAACATTGTCTTAAATATTTACTCTGTGCCAAGCAGTGTTCTAAACACCTTATATAGAATAATTCATTCAGTCTTCACAAGAGGCCAATGAGGTAGTTATGGTTAAGCTCTGTAAAATTGAAATAATAATGAGATCCAGAGATTTTGAATAAATTTGAGTAAGATACCAAAATTGGAAATTATGACAACAGTATCAATCAAGATTAAAAAAGTAGTTTTTCTTCGCTGAACACTTTCTCTGCCTTTGACACTGTGCCTTGCACTTTGTGTCATTCTGTTTGTACACCAGATAATATAATCCCCATTGGATAGGTGAGACAATTGAGGCTTAGTACAATGGCTTGCCCCTGATGGTACCTCTAAGTAGGATGTAGCAAAGCAAAATTCCAACCCATGGAGTCTGTCTCTAGAACCCTAGCTTTTCATCTCTGCATTGCCTACTGAAGATACCCATTTCATCCTGGGAGAAGCTCTTGCCTGTACTGGTGGTCGTCTGGCAAAGGCTGTAGACTCTCACGGTCCTGCTCTTTGAAAGGCAATAACTTTTCTATGGCTAAATATCCTGTCTTGGAGTGAGATAGGGCTGAGTACAAACGCTTGGAGTCCTTGATTTTAGAAAATGTGTTTTGTTGTGGCTCTTGGCCTCTTTTATCCTCAGCCAAACATGACAGTGGAATAGAGGCAGGTCAGAATGACCTGACCCACTGCTCTTTTTTGTTCTGGAAGGGTCTATTATGAGCTACTTGACACACAGAATACGGTTTATTTCTCCAAATTTGATTTTTTTGGGTTAAATCTCTAAGTCCTTCGGATAAATATCTTTTTAAAAAACATTATTTTTGGGGCGCCTGGGTGGCACAGTCGGTTAAGCGTCCGACTTCAGCCAGGTCACGATCTCGCGGTCCGTGAGTTCGAGCCCCGCGTCAGGCTCTGGGCTGATGGCTCAGAGCCTGGAGCCTGTTTCCGATTCTGTGTCTCCCTCTCTCTCTGCCCCTCCCCCGTTCATGCTCTGTCTCTCTCTGTCCCAAAAATAAATAAACGTTGAAAAAAAAATTAAAAAAAACCAAAAAACAAAAAAACACATTATTTTTCATTATGATAAGTATACTCTTTAATTCCCGACTACTCAGTCACCTCCCCTTTGGTAACCATCAGTTTGTTCTCTGTAGTTAAGAGTCTACTTACGGCTTCCCTCTCTCTGTCTCTCTCTCTCTCATCATTTGTTTCTTTTTTTTATTTGAAAAGATTTTTTAATGTTTATTTTTGAGAGAGAGAGCGGCGGGGGAGGGAGACAGTGCACAAGCAGGGGAGGGTCAGAGAGAGAGGGAGATACAGAATCTGAAGCAAGCCTGAGCTGTCAGCACAGAGCCTGACGCGGGGCTTGAACCCACCAACCTTGAGATCATGACCTGAGCTGAAGTTGGACGCTTAACCGACTGAGCCACCCAGGCACCGCTGATCATTTGTTTCTTAAATTGAACATGTGAGTGAGATCATATGGTACTTGTCTTTTTTTTCCCCCCCTTCAGTTTATTTATTTTGAGAGAGAGAGAGAGAGAACTTGCAGGGGAGGGGCAGAGAGAGAGAGAGGAGAGAGAGAATCCCAAGCAGGCTTTGCACTGTCAGCACAGAGCCTGACGCAGGGCTCTATCTCACGAACTGTGAGATCATGATCTGAGCCAAAATCAGGAGTCAGATGTTTAACCTACTGAGCCACTCAGGTGCCCTGGTATTTGTCTTTTTCTGACTTGTTTTGCTTAGCATTGTACTCTCTGTCTATATCCATGTTTTGCAAATGGCAAGCAAGACTTCCTTTTTTTTTTTATGGGTGGATAATATTCTATTTTGTATATGTATACACAGATATATCTACCACACCTTCTTTATCCCGTTATCTCTTGATGGACACTTGGGATGCTTCCATAGTTTGGCTATTGAAATAATGCTGCATTAAACATAGGGGCACATGTATCCCTTGGAATTAGTTTTTTTTTTGTTGTTGTTCTTTGGGTACATACCCAGTAGTGCAATTCCTGGATCATAGGATAGTTCTATTTTTAAATTTTTGAGAAACCTCCATGCTGTCTTCCAGAGTGGCTGCCTCAATTTGCATTTCCACCAACAGCGCAAAGGGGTTCCTGTTTCTCCACATCCTCTTCAACACTTGTTGTTTCTTATGATTTTGACTTTAGCCATTCTTACAGACTTAAGGGAATATCTCCTTGTAGCTTTGATTTGCATTTTCCTGATGATGAGTGATGTTGAACATCTTTTCATGTGTCTTTCGGCCATCTGGATGTCTTCTTTGGAGAAATGTCTGTTCATGTCTTCTGCCCACTTTTAATTGGATTACTTATTTCTTGGATGTTGAATTATATAAGTTCTTTACATATTTTGGATACTAACCCTTTATCAGATATGTCATTTGAAAATATCTTCTCCCATTCAGCATGTTGCCTGATTGTGGACTGTTGTTGTTTTCTTTGCTGTGCAGAAGCTTTTTATTTCGATGTAGTTCCAATAGTTTTTTTCTCTTATTTCCCTTCTCTCAGGAGATATATCTAAAAAAAAAAAAAAAATGGTACAGCCAATGTCAGATTACTACCTGTGCTCTCTTCCAGGATTTTTATTGTTTCAGGTCTCTTGTTCAGATCTTTAATCCATTTTGAAGTTATTTTTGTGTTTGGTGAAAGGAAGTGGTCCCGTTTCATTTTCTTGTATCCAAATTTGATTTTGATTTGATCCCTATTGAGTCCAATCTGTAATAACTCAAATTACCCCCTTTCCTGCATAGCATTTACCGGTCTGTGTAATTACATATTTATTTGTGGAGCATTCCTATCACTCACACTCAGATTCTGTGTTTCCCTCTCTCTCTGTCCCTCCCCCCCCAAAAAAAATAAAAATAAAACATTAAAAAACATTAAAAAAAATACTTGCAGACATTACCGATCAAATGCTTCAGTCTTGATCCCTTAGTGGAAAATGTGAGATTTTCAAGTCACATTTTAAGTTTGATGTGCTCGGCTACCGCCGCAAAGGCTCATGTTCTGTCTTCTTATATTCTGTTTTCTAGGATCCACTGAAGTTGTTTTCCGTAGAGAGACACTCTCATGGAGTGATTTCCTGGGTCTTCATGCAGTCATGGATATGGATAAACCATCTGTCTGGGGCTCTTTGAAACAGCGGACCAGGCCTTTGTTAATCAACCTGAGCAAGAGAAAGGTGAAGAAGAATGCAAACAAACCCCTAGATCTAAGGGCAAGGCGTCCCCTGGACCGCCGCCTCAGCCTTTCTGTCCCTGACCTCCTGGAGGCCGAGGCCTTGGCCCCAGAGGGGCGGCCTTACTCTGGGCCCCAGTCGTCCTATACCTCAGTGCCCAGCAGCCTGTCGACTGCAGGGATCTTTCCCAAGAGCAGCAGTAGCTCCTTGAAACAGTCTGAAGAAGAATTGGATTGGAGCCAGGAAGAAGCAGGCCACCTCCACGTGGGGGAAACAGACTCCGAGGAGGCCTATGCCTCTCCTGCCGAGGACAGGAGACCTTCCAGCAATGACATCTTGGATCTGCTCCAGAAAACTCCCCTTGAAGAGGATGCACTGGAAGAGCCGGAGGTGAGACCAGGGCTGGGCGCTTTCCTATTCCTTTTTCTTTTCTTTTCTTTCTTTCTTTCTTTTTTTTTTTTTCTCTGTTTTAAGTGCACTCGATGCCCTTGGAAAATTTGGTTGGGAGTTATTTTTGTGGTTAGCTTGGAGGGAAAGAATGTCATTTACAAGAATGTAGATTCAGGTGATATTGATTGCACCCACTGTTCCCGTCTGTTTTAGGGTTGACCTCTGTGTATTTTAAAACGATTACACACAACCTTTCTGGGATACTTTAAGGCATTAAAAGCCCTATTGGATGGGTTTGCCTTTTTCCATCTCCCTGCCAAAGAAATTAAGAGCATAACTTTTCCTTGAACTTTCTGCTTTAAGCGTACACGTGCCTCTCTCTTCACCACTGCTCAGTCCTCCATATGCAAGAATCCATGGGCGTGTGTGCATGTGTATGTGCTAGGGCACACGTGTGGATACTTGCAAGCTTCACTTGCATGCTCTAAAAAACACCAAAAGGAAGAAATCTGAAGGATGCAAATTCTTACAGATTCACTGATTTTACGAAGCTCTGGTATTTCAATAAGATAAAAGAACCAAATCTAATTATGAGACAAATCTTGTACTTCTAGAATGAATTTCATGTAAATTCAGCCACCAGATTACTAAATCATGATTCGGATGATACTAGTATTTTTTTTTTTTTTAATTTCCACATTAATGGCGCTGAAATATGTTGTGGTGTTGAGGGAAGTTAAGTTTTTTTTTTGTTTTGTTTTGTTTTTTTATATTCCAGGTTAATGTTATAATTGCACGGGAAGCTGGTTATTTAACTGAGCATTTTGGTTTTACTTTCAGAACCAAAGCCTGTTAATTCTGTCATATCTTTGGGTGTCATTACAGAATGGATCGTGGGTACTCGGAAGGTGTGACCAGATTCCTTTGGAAACATTACAATAAAACACCCTTAGCCATTCAATGACTATCTTTTTCACTGCCCCTTACATTTAGGAAATTCTTTTTGCAATGAGGTTACGGTTTTTACTGTTGTTTCTAAATTGAAAGGTTCTATTTCTGTTCATCAAAATATAAATTAGGTGAATTATTAAACATAGCTCATAATTCACAGTTGAGTGGGAAGGGGGTAACATTGAGACTTAGATACTGAAGTTAATCTTTATCTTCGTACTTATAAGTTATCAGAAAAAAAAAAATGGGTGGGTTTCTTGGCTTTGACCGGCTAACGCTCTCAGATTAGAATTTTTTTTTTTTTTAAGTTAGTGCTGTGAAACTGTTTTGCGGACTATAAATATTTGCATACCTACTCTGGGGCACCATAAGGGTTACGACTGGAAATAGAAATGGATGGGAGAGTGGGATGGGAGACTGGAAATAGAAATGGATGGGAAGACCCTGCCTTCAAGTTCTGTTGTATTGAGAGACAGCTTTGTACAGCTCTAAAGGCAGCAGAAAAAGCAAGCAGATACTGAAACTGTGCAAAACATCCAAGCCTTGCCTCTTGGCAGCTTAGGAGGTAGAAGAAATCAGTGCGTGGGTCATAGATGGGTCATGTGAGGCATTGTGCAAGCCGGCGTAGGTTTGATAGGTGAAGAAATATGGTGAACACGGGCCTGTGGGTGGGGTAGGTGGGGGTAGTGAGCATTTTGCTGCACCTGAAACAAAGGCTTGAAGAACTTTCTGGTGCGATGTATGCTGGGAAGGGTGGGCTGGGCTAAGGGGCTGGTTAGTGATGGTGAACAGCTGGTTGGCAGATGGTTAGTTGCCAGTGGTTATTTTTTCTTCTCAGGGCTAACTCCAAAATATCTTGCAATTCCTAGTCCTTTACCAATAGAATATTTTCATTAATTTTCTCCTTTAGCTCAGCCTTTTGAAAGAAAGCAAATGGGCACCAGGATGGCTCAGTCGGTTAAGCATCTGACTCTTGATTTGGGCTCGGGTCAGGGTCTCAGGGTTCGTGAGATTGAGCCCCGTGTTGGGCCCTGTGCTGACAGCGCGGAGCCTGCTTGGGATTCTCTCTCTCTCCCCCTCTCTCTCTGCTTCTCCCCGCGATTCTCTCTTGTCCATTGCTCTGCCTACCCGCCCTCCTTCTGTTGCCCCCCTCCCCCCCACCATTATTGGGTGGGCTTTTCCCACTACCGGAGGATCTTGAGCTTATTACATAGTATAGAAGTTAGTCACTCCCTCGCTTATATTCTCCACTAGGCTGTGTAATTTGGTCAGTGGGTATATCCAAGGGAGTTGCATCTAATTTGTCTTTGTTTTCTTAGGGCCTTGCTGTGTGCCTGACACATAGCATCTGCTCACTCCATATTTGTGTAATGAGGAAATCATTGATAGCAATGTGTACATTCAGGTTAGGACGGTTTTTGTTAATGTCTTTGTTGTGAGTTCTCGTCAGTTTACGATTTAATTAAAGTCTGATTTTCTTGTTTTGTTTTTTTTTTTTAAAGAAACACATCATACTGTAAATGAAATTTCTTTTTGTATGATAGTAACTGAAAAACAGAGATTTAGACAGGGGTAGACTTTACAGCCCAAGTCCGATACTGGCTTTAAATCTGTTCTTCTCTTTTTTTCTTTTTTTTTTTTTTTTTAATTTTTTTTAACATTCATTTATTTTTGAGATGGAGAGAGACAGAGCATGAACGGGGGAGGGTCAGAGAGAGGGGGACACAGAATCTGAAACAGGTTCCAGGCTCTGAGCTGTCAGCACAGAGCCTGACGCGGGGCTTGAACTCACGGACCTCAAGATCATGACCTGAGCCGAAGTCGGCCGCTTAACTGGCTGAGCCACCCAGGCACCCCATCTTCTCTTTTTTTTCAATGAAGGTGGAAGTCCTGGGGAATCCATGAGTTTTGGGGTTGGCTAATCTGTATCTAGGATGTGGGCCATCTGTTTTCTTCCTAATGAATAGTGGCCAGGTTTCTATCACTTTCATGAAATTGGGGGAAGCAAGGAGCGGGGAGGAAGGGGTTGGCAAGTGACAAACCCAGTGCACCACAGGGACAATCAGATGTTCACCGAGTATCCTTGCTGTGACTTATTTTGTTTGTAGCTTTCTAGAGGGGTAAGGAAAGGAACTTCTGTGGTTGGAGGCACCCATTGGGGTTTGTCTTCCATGTTTTTTATGCAATGGCAACTTGGTACCAGGCTGAGCCCGCAGCCGTGGGATAAGACCCCAAATGATGGTGTCTGAATGTTTTCTAGTTTATTCTTAGTCCTGCCAGTGTCAGCAGGGAAGCAAGGTGCAGGTTGACAGTTATGGGGAAATGGAATGAGGAGGCAAAGCACAAAATTAAGAAGGAAGAGGAAGAAAGCATGTGAGAACAGAGAAGCCACATGGAGCCTTGGAAGAGTCTCAGTGAAGGTGCTTCAACCAGCCATAAAACCAAAATGGAAGAAAGTAGGTTTAGAATAAAGAATACATTGGTCGAAGAGGATTCTCCAGACTTTTCTTTGGGCCTTCAATTCTGATCGCCGTGGGCATTGCACATAAACCTGATCTCAACTTGTTCTGACAGAATTTTGTGTCCCTCAAGTGCTCTCACACACAGAGACCGTTTTTCTTGGCAACACCCGCCGGGTGGCCCAAGTGAAAAACCCATGAATGCCGTGAGGCTGTCTCACTTTCCTTGCTTTTCACTGAGATTTTCGTTTATGCATCTCACCTCTGTCTCCTCCTCACTTCTTCGTCTCGTACTTCTCTTCCAGGAAACCCTCTCACCCATCAAATTCTCCCTCCCTGTGAGGGTTTTCCCGACTGTACAGTCAGTGTTAATCACCCTGCTTTTGTTTGCCTGGCATGCCGCTTTTGCTGTTACCGAGTGCTAACCTCATTCTGCTTTCTGCAGACATCTGTAGAGGAAGAAAGGGTTTGGAACAGGTAAGGGAGGTAGCGAAGGGAAAGCAAATTGGTAGTGGGCCAAGGTGTCACTGGGTAAGACCCTGAGAAGGTCACCTGCCTCCTAGACCTGTATTAACTGTCCAGCGGCCATCTGGCTCCGAGGACCAACTCATGATAACCCGATGCTCACGAGACAGAGCTATAAATGACAACCTTAACTGTTTGTAATGAGGGTTAAATACCGTATAGACTCTAATATTTACTCTGATAACAACAGCACACTGTTTCCTGATTGTCGAGTTACTTGGGAAGTCGAATCGTAATAAACCTCAACTTCATTAATGTGTGGGGAGTGATAATTATCTCAGGGCCCGGAAAAACTTGGGGAATCTGTTAGGCGTATGGACTCTTGGAAGTCGGCCTACATGAGAAGTCACATAGAATCGGGAGATTGTTTTACGAACACGAATCCCTGCAAGGAGAACGGGTGGGTAGGTTCCACACTGAATGGTGTCTGGTAAGCCATCCATCTCACGATAGAGATTGAGGTGCCAAGGAGATCTTGACATGCTCACACTTTGTTCGCTTGAGCCAATGACCTCCATATCCACATGATCAACCTGCCTAGGCCACAAAGCCACGATTCTTAAAGTCCTGTGGCATAGGCTGTCTCTTCCCCCTGTAGGGTTCAGGGACGAGTCCAAACTTTTACCCAGGCTTTCTTGCATGACCTTTCCCTTTTTATTGATTGACACATTAATTTATTAGCTGTCTATTTTCACTTTCAGTCAGGCCGGTAGGTTTTCATGGTTGCCTGGCAACCAGATTGCCTGCTTTCAATGACTTTGTATGTCGGGCCTCTGATGGATGAAAGGTGGTCTTACAGTTTTATTCTCCTTGCTGCCATCACCAAAACTTGGGCATGGGAGGTGGTAAAGGGCACCTTATGTTCCTGTTATTTTGATAGCAACAGCACACTGTTTCATGATTGTCAAATCATAATAAACCTCAACTTCATTAATGTGTACAGAGTGATAATTATATCAGGGCCTGGAAAAACTTGGGGAATCTGTTAGGTATATTGACCCCCACCTTGTATTTAGTTGGTTATTTAGAAATTGGCCTCGTGTTAGATTGGAAGCTCCTGAGGAA